GTCCATGTTTGGTTTAGCTAAAAAAGATAATTAAAATTTAAGTTAAAGTTTACAATTAATTTTAACTATACATTCTATGAGACCTATAATTTTTCAACCACACTAAAACGAAATAAAAAGGAAGGTAATGAGAAGAAACTTAAGAGGCCTAAAACATAAATCTTATTGTTTTTCCTCACAATGTTCGGTTGATAGGTGTTACACCTATAAATTACGTGACATATGCATGACTGAGGGGGTATCATATATACCGATGTGATGTCTACTATTCAATTGATGGAATCTATGTAATTAAATAACTTTGTACTAGGCTTGGAGCTTGGCTCATCATGCCCACTTGACCCATTTATATTTTCCGATATATGTATGTATGTATGTATGTGTGTGTGTGTGTGTGTGTGAGAGTTTCATTCAAACCAAGGTATGTTCCCTAAGCCTATCCAAACCCTCTCTCCCTCTTGCACTCTCTTTATCTCTCGCCCAACCGTTGACTTGATCAGTGCAAACGATCACCAGACCTTTTTTTTAATCGAATGCCTTTGCCACCTACCTGGATGTTCAGTGTGCAGACGATGTCCACGTAGAGGAGACGTGGCCGGAATTCTGTTAAAGCATTTTTGAAGTCAGATTGGCGCCGTCTATGAGAATCGATACATTAACCATATTTCCATCCCATCTAAAATGGCCACCGGAAAAGAGGTATTTTCTAGGCGGCTCTCTACTGAAAAATAGCAAAGACAGCAACCAAAAAATGAAGGTTTACGGAGAATAATTTTCAGACAAGCAGAAGGAATTTACCGACGACGGTCCCTCTACGAATGGTGTCGTGTTCAAACAAAAGCTTTTACATAGAACATTAATTTTGATGGAGACAAGTTACAAATGGTGGTGTGTTGAAACAACAGCATTCACGGTAAATAGGTACTTTTGCTTCCTTTGTGTGCCGGTCAGAAGCTAATTGTCAATCAAAAATTTGGATGACTTGTTTGGTCTTCTAGTTGGGCCTGAAGTTTATTGGGCCTATATTATTCTTTTTGTCTAAATTGCTCTAGAGGAAATTATGCCATACACCTACTTTTCAATAAATATTTTTGATTTACTATTCAGCTTTTTATTAACCATATATACTGTTTTTTATTAAGTAAAAATGGAATGTGAAAAAGTATCCAAATGTTTAAACTTTTCATTACTCAGCCAAGATTTCTCCAACAAACACGTCATTAAACTCATGTACAACTTTCACACCCAAATTAAACTTAATTAAACAACAAAATTCCTAAATTATCGTCCTTTCACATTCCATGCCCAAAATTCCCAAAACTTCTCTCCCAAATCACCCAACAAAAATTTCTCCATGCCAAATTCATATTTCGATCTTCTACGGATTTCATGCAAAGGATATTTCACACCATATCATGGAATCAACCAGTTGATTCTTCAGTTTTTCATTGATTCGGTATATGTGAAGCGTATAAAACCCTAGCCCGACGCCTAATTTACCATCCTGCTTTCGATTATACCATCAGTCGAGATTTTGTGAATCTTCCACCATGGCGACTAGAAAAAATGCATCTTCACTAGGCTCCATATGGGTACTTCCAATCGCGGTTGTACGGACACGCCGATTGTCAATGGGTTCCATCAAGGCCCAACAACTAGATGCTTCTTCCAAGTTCGGTGAGACCCTCGTACCAAAAAATGAACTCGTAAACACCCCTCCTCGTCGCATTACCCGTTCGACTAAATATATCTTCACAATCAAAAGATTACGTCAGCCGTCCATCAAGTGAAAGAGTCGTGGACACCAGTTTTGAAGGTACATGGATGACAAACAAATTGAAGGACACGAGCAAGAAGCCAATAGAAGATGAAGTTCCAAATTTAACAACCAAAAAGCGAAAGTCAATTCTTTCTCAACACAAAC